AGAGATCACAAGTAGGCAGAGAGGCAGGCAGAGAGAGAGGGGGAAGCAGGCTCCCTGCTGAGCAGAGAGCCCTAGCTTGATCCTAGGACCCTGGGATCATGACCTGAGCCAAACGCAGAGGCTTTAACCCACTGAGCCACCCAGGCACCCCTCTAAGGATGTTTCTGTCCAGCCTCTTATGTTCTGCAAGCTCTGAAAGGAGCCTTAGAAATCACATAGTTTGGGGCGCCTGGGTGGCTCTGTCAGTTAAGGGTCTGCCTTCTGCTTAGGTCATGATCTCAGGGTCCTGGGATCAAGTCCTGCATCAGGCTATCTGCTCAGCTGGGAGTCTACTTCTCCCTCTGCCTGCCACTCCCCCGCTTGTGTGCGCTGTCTCTGACAAATATATACAATCTTGAAAAAAAAAAAAAAGAAATCATGCAGTTCAACACAGTTTGGTTGTGTTTGGTGGTGCCTTTTTTTTTTATTTTAAAGATTTTATTTATTTATTTGACAGAGAGATCACAAGCAGGAAGAGAGGCAGGCAGAGAGAGAGGGAAGCAGACTCCCTGCTGAGCAAACAGCCCCACTCCGGGCTGGATCCCAGGACCCTGAGATCATGACCTGAACCGAAGGCAGAGGCTTAAACCACTGAGCCACCCAGGCGCCCTGTGTTTGGTGTTTTTTTTTAAAGTTTTAATTATTTTTGGAAGTAGAACATTATTTTTCAAGTAAAATATCTTGGTCTTTTAAAGATCTGTGTAAACTTTATGCACATTCTTGCATAGGTACCCTACTGCATGTAATTTCAAATATTAAAATACTCCAAATTTAATATAGTTCATGTATGGAACTACAAATATTAAATAGAAATGCATTTGACTACCGACATATTACATTTATTTTAACATTTATTTCAATTATACAATTTAATTTTCATAATTTGGAGGTGATTATTTTTTTTCCCAGCTCCCAAACTTGTTTGAAGGCCACTGAAAGCCAGGAGGCCCCAGGCACAGCCTAGAGTGTTTCATTGATGAAGTTGCCTATTTGCTACTTAGGAATCTTGGTATTTAAAGCAGGTTGTGGGGGGTGGGGGTGGGGAGCGGGGCTCAGCTGCTCAGCTGACACACCCCTCTTCCACATAACAGCTCCTGAGGTCCTCCAGATCCCAGGTGGAGCAAGCCCAAGAAGGGCATGCATCTTTCTCAAGGTCAAGCCCAAGAAGGGCACACATCTTTCTCAAGGTCACAGTGAAAAACCAGTACCAGGTCTTTTGACTTGCAGTCTGATGTGCTGCTTTGACAGCACTGTCCTGCCCAACTAAACTACTTTTTCAAAAAATTAATAAATAAAACAAAATAAATATATAAATAATAATAAAATAAATAAATAAAATAGAAATAAATAAATAAATAATAAATAATAAATAATTTTGTTTATTTGTCAGAGAGAGATAGAGATATCACAAGCAGGGGGAGTGGCAGGCAGAGGGAGAAGCAGGCACCCCACTGAGCAAGGAGCCTCGATCCCAGGACCCTGAACCGAAGGCAGATGCTCAACCAACTGAGCCACCTAGACATCCCCACAATAAACCACTTCTATTCCTCACCTTTTTTTTTTTCCTATTCCTCACCTTTATCAAGCACAGGTGTGCTTCCAAAAGTTCCAGACCATTCGCAAGTGTTACATCATGTTCAGGACAGCTCTGAGCGATATACAATTATTCCCATTTTACAGATAAAGAAACGAGTCCCAGAGAGGGTAAGTGACAGCCCCACAGGGCACAGCTTCGAAGCAGCAGAGCCTGGACTCCAGCTGGCTGACTAGTTTTGACTATTTCCCAGTGATACTAAGGTGTTCCTTTTTCACTTTGTGTCACAGGGATAGTATTTTCTAGAGGCTACATGGCCTGTGAGAACATATGTCATCATTCTGACTGCACATTCGACCATGTGGGTTTGGGTGTCCATATGTTTTACATTTTTCTCCATTTTAATTTCGAATTGGATAAACACCACGAGGTATAACTATAAACAAAAACTCTGGAGATCTTTAATTTTTCAGAGTATAAAGGGGTCCTAAACCCAAAACATGTGAAGGCCACCGAATCAAACACTTATTTGGACATCTTTTCTGTTGCCAGCCCTGATGAGGGGCCAGTGTTAGTAACACAAGTGAGCAAAGACTGAATCCTGCCTTCTAGAACCTCCCAGTCTTGAGAGAGGAGCCCACACAGTCAGTGTCCTATGTTCTGATGGGGTATTAAGTGAAGATGAAATGGGTCATTTTGTCTAGGAGCTGAGGGGATGAGAAAAGCTTGGAAGTGCTTTGAAGTAGGAAGATTTTCAAGGATAGAAGGGGGTGGTGGAACTGGACAGGGTGGAAAGGGGTAGAGCATTTGCAAAGACACAGGCGGGGAAGGACACATAGGTATTTGAGGATGGGGGCTGTTAAGCAAGTCGGGATATAGAATCCTGGGCAGGACAAGGGCAGGTTCCTGAAACGAACCTCCCAGATTTTCTGTGCTATTTTGCTCCCATCCCTGATGAAAATATTCACACTTTGTGTGTGTGTCACAGAGCATCACCAATGTGAGAGGACCCTCCCAATCCCTCTCCAACCTGCTATCTTGCTTTACCCTTTTCACAGCCTCCTCGACACCTGGAATCACATTTCTACCTTTTCACTCTACTTTCCCACTGGGGGCAGGGACTTGTCTGTCATGTTCATTACTGTGCCCTTGGGACACAGAACAGGCCCTGACACAGATCTTTCAAGAAATACTGCATGAATCCATAGGAGCCAACAGAATTCAGAAACCTACAGATAACTGCATACTTTTAGCATTTCTGTGATATTCCTGCCTTTTAGAACATTCTTTCCCCTTCTCTCTGGGAAAATGGGCCTCACTTCTTCGTTCCTGAGGTCTTCCTTAAGAGCCAGCCCCATGGTTCCCTGGGTGCTGGACCAGAAGGGGGTTGATGAGGTTGGAGAGGCCAGCAGGTTTTGAAATACTGTTCTGGGCCTTGTGTGCCAGGCTTGAGAATGTTCGTTTACTCCCCTGTAGGCAGAAGGCAGCCATCAAAGGTCACTGCTTGGGAGACCATAGGTTGCTTCTCAGCGTCCAGTGCTGGACCCAGAGAGCTGGGCTGAGAATTACCCCATTTCTACCCCTAAAACCACCCCCTTCCTGGGGGGGTTCTACTGACCACAAGAGGGCAGCATCGAGGAGTGGGACCGCACCCCCTCCTAAAGATGGGGGCCTCAGGATCAAGCCCCACCAATTGTTATTGTTGTTTTTAAAAAGACCAGGAAGGGTGTGCTCTCACACCTTAATGAGTTGTCAGTGCCTCCTGCAGATCAGTCTCTGAGCATTATCATAACAAGAAAAGAAAAAAAAAAAAAAGAGAGGAAACAAGAGCTGTTTGGGTCCCATTTAGAGAAAAGGTTGAGAAGGAAATATTCATTTCCTTGGGCTGAAATGGGGCACCAGCATAAAAACATCACAAAATTGGATGGATTTTCACATTTATTGGGTAAACCGAGGCAGGCACTGTGCTTGGTGCCGGGAACCAGATGGACAGACTCTGCCTGCGCCTTGAGCTCATAGCCTCCCAGTGGTGGCCGAGATGGGTCATAAGGCATCTGGGGTGGGGGTGGGGGGGTTGGAGCAAGGGGACAGGAGCCCGGGGAAGACCGAGTCTAGAAGTGGGGGGAGATGTCACGAGCTCACCCAAACGTCTTCTCAATCCTCTCACAGGCACCCTCACTAGGTTGCTGAAATTGTGGCAGCCGCCTACTGTGTCTGGCTCTGTGACATCTCCAAGGTGAACATGACCGGTATGGCCCTTACCCCCATGGAGTCCATGGCTGGATTTGAGAGAGGAACATTATGTAGCAAACACGAGCAGCGCTATGAGGGAGAGTGCAGGCGAAAGGAAGCTTGTGTAATAGGGGAAAGGAGAACCCCCTTATGGGGTGGGGGGCAGGGGGTTACCCTGAGGCCATTCTCCCCGAGCTGAGAGTCGAAGGCCGACTGAGAGCCATGGAAAGGGCTAGGGAGGAGTGTTGCAGGCAGAAGGAGCAGTCTGGGTGAAGGCAAGTGAGACAGGAAGGAGCTTGGCTCCTGAGGAAGGCAGGTGTAACTGGAGCTCAGGAAGGGAGGCGGGGAATCTCCAGAGGAGGCCAGGAAGGCAACCCTGGCATGTTAGAGATATTCTGCAGGTTCTAGAAGGCATGGTAAGGAAGCCAGTGTCCAGCCCCAGAGCCAGGGGTTTGTAGAAGCACTGTAGTGACACAGATCAGGTTTGCTCTCTGGCAGCAGACGGAAAGCTGACTGGAGTCCGGGCAGGAAACTGAAGGTTCTGGGAGTCTGAGGCCTCTGGGGACATCCAAGAGCAGGTGGGTGTGAGGGCCGGGTCGCTAGGTCCTGAGATGACAGTTCTTCCAGATTTAGATCGGATATCCTCTTCCGGGGGAGGGTACTAAGAAGGACCGGGGGAAGCCAGAGCCAGCTGCTCAGGACAAGGCCTGCCCTCTGTGGCCTGCCCGGCCATCGCTCATGGACCCTGACCAGGAGCCCGCAGAGCAGGCAGCCAGGAGGGAGCTCTGTGTTCAAAACAGCGACACCGAGGCCTGGGTGGGGGCAGTGACTTGCCCGAAGACACACAGCGAGACACAGGTCGAGGCAGAGGTACCCCAGGCTTCCCGAGTCCAGTCCTGGGCGCTCTGCGTCAGGCCTGGGCCTCAGTCTTTGCCACCTCCGTCCTGTGCTTCCTCCTCGTGGAGGGGCTCCAGGCAGCCTGGGTCCCCAGCCTCTTCCATGGACTCTGGCTGGTCAGAGGCTTCTTCAGGGATTCCGTTGGAAGCTTCCGCAGTAGCCTCCATCTTCTCCTTCAGGTTCCGTTTGAAGAAGCCAAACTGCAGGAAAACAAAACCGGTGTTAGCACAAGGGCCATGGAACACTCTGGGCCCGTCGGCCTCGCAAAACATGAAAGGGCCCCCATGGTCGTGAGTCACACGTGGTACCCGCTCCAGGGCTGGGGCGAGGCGTCTGCCACACCGGCTTCCTGGCAACATGCCGAGAAGCTGAACGCTCAACATTTCATTCTTCAGGCTCGTCAAAGTGTCCTGGACCAATATTTGGGGCGGGTGGGTTGACAATACCCAGTAACACTAACAGAAGGGCCTGCGCTCCCGTAGCGCTTAGTGCGGGCCCCGTACTATCTGTTGAAAGCTCAGAACATACATATTCTTTTTTCCCCAAAACATGTATGTTCTTTGGCTCAGCCATTCCAGCTCCAGCAACTATTTCTAAAGAGCTTTTGGACAAGTGCGCAAAGATGTGGGAGCCAAGAGCCTTTTTCGGTCACTGTTTAAAACAGGTAGATATTAGGGGCACCTGCCTGGCTCAGTCCATGAAGCATCTGGCTCGGGGCATGATCCCGGGGTCGTGGGATGGAGCCCCGAGTCAGGGTTGGGGGTGTCCCTGCTCAGAGGGTGTCTGCTTCTCCCTCTCCCTCTGCCCCCTGCCCCCTGCTTGTGCCCTCCCTCACCCGGCTCGCTCTCAAGTAAATAAATGAATGATCTTTAAAAAAATAGGTAGAAATTACAAATAATCTAAATGTTGATCAGTGGGGATCTTATTAAAGAAAAGGCGGGGCATCTGGACAGCAGCAAACCAGCGCAGGTTACAGAGCAAGAGGTGGACGTGGCTCGCGGAGAGACAGCAGCACAGAATACTCGGTGGGAAACCCAAGCTCCCGAGCAGTTTATATGGGATCCTTCCATTTATGTTTTCTTTTCTTTTCTTTTTTTTTAGATTTTATTTATTTATTTGAGACAGAGAGCGTGCAAGCAGGGGGAGCAATAACAGAGGGAGAGGGAGAAGCAGACTCCCCGCTGAGCAGGGCTCGATCCCAGGACCCTGGGATTATGACTTGAGCCAGAGGCAGCGGCTTAACTGACTGGGCCACCCAGGAGCCCCTCTTTTATGTTTTCTACCTATATACACAGACGCTGACTTTTTCCCTCTGCCTCTCTCATGCTCACACGTATACACATATTTAAACAACAAAATTAGAACCTGGAAGAACAGAAACCAAATGGTTGTTAATGACGACCCTGGGGGAATGCAACAAGAAGAAACTGATTTTCTGCGCTTTTCTGGAGGATTTGAGGGTTTCATATGGAACATCTGTCCTCCGGCATTCTTCATCTGGCAACTCCTTCAAATCCCAACTCAAACGCCTCCTCTCCTGGGAGGCCTTCCCAGACTCCCCCAGCCTAAGTGAAGTTCCAGCGTACAGGCCTTTGAGTGGAGCCCTTATCATGTGTGCACCTGTCTCTGCCATTAGACTGGGAGCTCCCCTCTCGTGCTCCAGTCTCCACCATTAGACTGTGAGCCCCCACAGTGCACCTGTCTCCACCATTAGACTGTGAGCCCCCGCAGTGTGCCTGTCTCCACCATTAGACTGTGAGTCCCCCAAAGGCAGGAACCATGTTTGTGGTATGTCTCTCTGTGTCCCAGGGCCCGGCCCTTGAGTCCTGGGCGCCCCCTCCTTCCCTGGGTACCCAGTCCTGGTTCTGCCAGCACCTGGTGGAGGGATGGGGGGGAAGTCTTGTTTGCTCTTGGGGCTTCATGAGCCTTATCTGTGGAAGGAGGGAGTGGGCCGAGGCCACCTTGATCTTTAACGGTCCTGGATCTTGACAGTCTCTGCCCTGACTCCTGTGAAACCCCTTTCCCCAGCCTGGCTGTCTAAGGCAGGCCCGTGGCTCCCAGAAGCTCCCACCTTATAGAGGACGGCGAAAATCACCAGCAGCACCAAGAGCCCTCCGATGCCACTCAGCACGTAGACGTAGAGCATTTCCTTCTCATAGACGATGTCCACCTTCATAAGGACCTGCAGGCGGAGAGCTGGGGGCATGAGAAGGCTCTCCCACCTCTGACATGCTTGTGAATGGCTAGGTCTTCGCGGCTCTGGTCGGGACTGCTGCCCCACACTGCCAGGCTAGCCTGGGTGCCTCCCTCCAGGGAACCTCCACCCCCACCCCACCCCATGCAGCCCCCGGAGCCAGCAGGCAGACATGCACATGACCCAGCGGAAGCCCTGATGTAGCTGCCTCGAGGCCAGAATGAAATGTCAGAATCTCGGCGCAGCATGCCAAACCTTCCAGAACCTGGCTGAGGCTTACCTAATGAGGGGCAGCTTCCCTTCCCCTGCTCTGAGCTTCCTGCTCTGCAAACCACCTTGCCACCCTCTTGCCTGGGTGGCCTGAGCCCCCATGCTCACTGCTCGTTCTGCTTCGAGCGCTTTCCTGTCATGCTCCGAGGGGGCAGGGGGTGGGTTCCCTCTGCTGAGCTGCCAACACACTGATCTCTGCCTGACGCATCTCATCAGACGGGTGACCTCATAGCCTGACTGCTTGCCCACCGGTGGTGGCAAGGAGCCCATGGCACTGCCCTCCACGGCCCTCGCCAAGACCAACCGCTCTGACTGCCCGGAAGCTGTTCCTTCTGGGCCCAGCTGGGGGCCCTCTGGCTTCTGCTCTAGCTCCTCCAGCTCCGCCCCCCAGGGCTCTACAGAGCCCTCCACCGACCTCTGTTCCCAGGGCTTCTGAGAAGCCAGAGCCCTACCTGGGCCAGGGAGGCGTTGCTGCCGTAGAGGTGGAAATGCTTGCTGCTGTTGAAGGAGACGGAGAGGGAGCTGCAGAGGCTGAACATGGAGGGGGCCTGTGGAGGGGAGTGGGAGACATCAGGCCGGGGAAAACAAGGACCAGAACCTGCTGACTTCTGCACCCCACCTTGACTCAGGGGGAGAAGCTGAGGAGAACGGGCCCTGGTGGGGAGCACCACGGCTACTGAGTTCTCCACTGGAGCGTCCTAAGGGGCCACACCCCACTGCTGGAAGGAAATTTTCCCTACAAAGAACCCAGAAGAACCATCTGTAGGCCCAGGAAAACTGCCTGGCAGATTCCAAGCAAATCACGGATGTCTTTCATCTGCTGCTGTGAAAGGATCAGGGCTTTGCATCAGGGTCATAAAGAAAAATGTAGGAAGCCCATCTGGTGGGGAGTCCACTGCTTGTCCCTTAAGCGCCCCCGACCCACTGCACCTGTTGCCAGCAGCTGCTAACCTTGATCTCCCCCACCAGCTCCACAGTCCCGGTCACTTGGACGAGGATCTCCTCCTTGAACTCAAGTGGACAGTGGAACTTGGCTCTGGGCAAACAAGGCTGCCGAGAAGGAAGAGAGTGGAGGTCAGAGAGGCCTGTCTTCCCACCTGCACTCCGCCGGCCCCCACCCCAACTTCTGAGCCCACAGGCCCGGACCTCAGCCTCGCTGGGCAGCCTCTCCAGATCCTCACGATAGCAGGTCACAGGAGGGTCCTAGGAGTGATGAGATGGGGTCCTCGCTTAGTCCAGAGCAGAGAGGGAGGACGCTGGCCCCTTAAGGCCAGAACGTGGCCTCCCTCTCTGTTCCTCATTTCGGGGGCATCCCAGGACACTCCCACTGGCTCTTGGCAGGTTCAGAAATCACTGAGCCCAACAGGACGCATCCCTCCTCACTCCCTTCCCACACGTCTGTACCCCCCTTATGAGCTCACTCCCACCAACCCAAGTGTCCCTCCTTCCCCTGGGCCCTGGCTACTTACCATCTGCACATTCCACTTGTGTGTGATGGGCCCCTCGCTGTGAGGTCCCGGCACCCCAACCACGGCCTCCAGGGCGGGCACGTTGTGGTCGTAGACAGAGGGCTGAATCCTCACCTAGGACAGAGGACATGGGACAGCAGAGCCCTAAATGCCGGCCACCCCTCCAGAGGCAACGCTCACTGGCTGAGGCCTGAGGGCCTGCTCTTTGCCAGGCGGCGGGCAAGGACAGCTTGTCCTCGAAGCTTGCCCCTGCGGACTACATGTGCCTCTCTGCCTTCTCCGAGGGCAAACCTTCGAGGTGATCGGTTGACTCCCCAAGGAGAGGGCAGCGCCCCCCTATCCCCACTGCATGTTCCCACAGCGCTCTGCGTCCCCAGCAGGACATGGGTCTGTCTGTCCAGGGGCTACATGCTCCGTGAAGGCAGCAGCTGTGGCTCCTTTGGCTGACGACTCCCTGCTGCCTGACGCACTATCTAGCACACAGCGGGCCTCCCGAAAAGTCAATGTTCGAATGCGTGAAAGAAAGAAGGAAGGGCATTTAACAAGCATAGATGCGAAAATTGTTTGCACAATGCAGGTTGGGAAGGACTTGCTTTGGTGAGGTCATTGAACTGATTTAAGAAACAAGGCCTGAGTGCCCTTTAGATGAGAGGGCGAGCTTGTGCGAGGGCTGGAAGATCCAGAAGCCGGGAGGGAGTAACTCAGGAGCAGCACCACGGAACGGCTCAGGGAGGCCGAGCAGGGAATCTCAGAGCCAGTCTGAAAGGTTCTACCATGTGTCACTTGACAAACATTTGCGGACGCTTGAAAAATATCAGGTCCATTAAATTAAAAAGGCCTACGTCAGAGTGGCCTTTGAATTTCACCGTAGAAGACTGAGAGGAGTGGAACAGACGAAGATGGGGGGAGGCCCCCAGGAAGCGAAAATGCAGGGAGTCAGGAAAGCACCAGGCGAGTGAGACAAGGAGGGAGGTTGGGGGCCTGGGACAGAGAGGTCGGACACACGTCTGGAAAGGAAGCTTGAGGTGAGGTTGTGTGCCCAGAAGGCCTAAGACCAGAAATCAGGGGACCCTCAACTAGGCAATGGTGAGTCACAGAAGTTAGCTGAAGAAGGCAGGCTCCGGGCGGCTCCCTCACAGCAGGCCCAGAACAGAAAGAAGTGGGGACAGCAGGCCGAGGTCCAAGCCGGCAGCCTGTGCCAACAGCAGCAAGACGATGAGGGGCCAGAGTCTGAGTGGTCATGGGGGCCAAGGAGACAAGAGAACACGGACTAGAAGTTGAGGCGGGGGCCATGCATGGAGGAAGGACAAACTCATCTAGACTTGGAAGTTTTACTTGAGGGAAAGGGTGGTTTTGAGCACCCTTGAGGTGGTGTTGGCTTAGAGGAAAGCGACACACTTGGTTTAGAACACATTGAGACAAAGCCTCAGGAGGAAAAATTGCACTCTTAGGTATATACCCAAGAGAAAGAAAACCTGTCAACACCGAAGTTTGGGCAGGAACATTCAAGCAACACGGTCTATAAAAGCCAGAAAGTGGAAACCACCGAGATGTCCACCAGCAGACGAGCGGACAAATCTAGCACGGCCTACCTCACAGTGGAATATTATCTGGCAAGAAAAAAGAGCATAGCACGGGCCTGAGCTACAGCGCGAATGACCCCGAAAACACCCTGGGAACCCACAGAAGCCCGTCACAAAAGACGCGGTACTGTAGGATTCCTCCCCTACGTGAAGGTTCTTTCTGGAATAATGAAAATCTTCTAAAATTAGATTGTGGTGATGGTCGTACAACTTTGCAAATATAAGAGTCACTGAACTGCACACTATTTTTTTTTAAAGATTTTGTCTACTTATGTGAAAGAGAGACAAAGAGAGCACAAGCTGGGGGATGGGCAGAGGGAGAGGGGAGGGACAAGGAGACTCCCCCACTGAGCAGAGGACCCCAATACTGAACCCAGACCCTGAGATCAGGACCCGAACTGAAGTCAAATCCTTAAGGGACTGAGCCACCCAGGTGCCCTGGATCTGTACGCTTTAAAAGTGGGTAAATCAGGGGCGCCTGGGTGGCTCAGTTTAATGAAGCCTCTGCCTTCCTGCTCAGGTCATGATCTCAGGGTCCTAGGATTGAGCCCTGCATCTGGCTCCCTGCTCAGCAGCGCGTCTGCTTCTCCCTCTCTGTCTGCCCCTCCCCCTCATTTGTGTGGTTTCTCTCTCTCTGAAATAAATAAATAAAATCTTTTTTTAAGAAGCAGGTAAATCATATGGACTGTGACTTGTATCTCATTCTATCATGACCAAAAAAAAGATGTTTGAAGACATCCTGGTGGAGAGCAGTGACAGGCTGCGGGGGACAGAGGAGCCGGAGGGTCACAGTGTGGACTTGGGAGCTGCAGGGGGACTCAGACGGCGGGGTGGGCAGCGGTGTGAGCGTGCGGGGCCCCGCGGTGGTCGCTGAATGCTGGATCTAGGCCCCGGGCAGCGCTGTCATCCCTGCGACACAGAGGGGATGGCTGAGGTTCAGGGAGACTGGTTTGTTTGAAGTGTTTGGGGAGCAGAGCTGGCATCTGAGCCCCGGCTGGGCCTCCCGAGACTGGGACAATGGTGTTCCATCACCTTCCTCGGATGAGGGTGAGAACAAGCCTCAAAGCAGCCACCGCTTTGCTGGCTGACGTGTGGAGCGCTATGCAGAACACTTCACATGCATCGTCCTGTTTTTCCTCTTAACAACCCCATAAAGTAGGTGCGATTATTATCCCCATTTTACTGACTGAAAAACTGATGCTCAGCGAGGGTAAGCAAACCGCCCAAGGCCACACAGCTTGAAATGGCAGAGCTTCAAAAAGCTTTCAGGCTGGCTGAAGCTTATGTGTCCTAACCGGCCAGGGGAGGAGGAGGGGGAGGAAAGGGAGGAAGCAGACCCCCGCTGGCACTGGACTACCCAGCCTGTCGAGCTTACAAGAGACCCCAGGTGACCCCCCTGTGGCAAAAAAAAAAAAAAAAGCCTAACAGGAGAACTTATGGCAAGAGGGAAAGATCACCAGTGTCCCACGCTGAGCTGGGTTTAGTTAAAACAGAGATCATTAGGGCCTTTAGCAAGAGGGGCCAAGCGGTGGGCCAGGCAGCCAAAGGCAGAGCTTGAGATGCTGGAGGGTGCTGAGGTGGCTGGAGGGGGCTGGAGGCATCTGGCCAGGCTGACTTGAGAGAGAGAGAGAGAGAGAAATGGGGTGTGTGTGGGGGCGGGGAGCGCAAAGGGTTTGCATTGGTTCCCAGAGGAGTGGGGCAAGGAGGGAAGCAGGCTTCCACAGTCGCTGGGGAATCTGCAGCCAGCATAGAACACCGGCCCCAGCCATTAACCATCACCACTTCCCAGGCACTGGGCCAAGCACCCCACGTGGAGTAAGTAAGCCACTTCACCCTCACGACCGACCCCTGCAAATTCTTCCAAACGCCATGTGTCACAGCAGTTAACAGTTAACAGTTAAGCCCTTGGCCCAAGATCACACAGAGATCGAAGGGTAGAGTTGGGGCTTGGATCCACGCCTGCCCAAATCTTCCCAAAACTGTTCCACTGGTAAAAGGACTAGTCTGCCAACCTCCTTGGGGAACCCGGAGGCATCCCAGTGAACAGCACTAGAAACCGAGCCTAGTGGTCATTCTCTGTGCAAATGGGCACCTGACCTCCCCAGGGGGGAAGTCATCATATCCAAGTCAGATGGCTCCTGCCTCTGTTCTAAAGGGGCTAACTGGCTGGGGTCCCTTTCTTGCTGGGCTCCTGTGCCAGTCTGTCCTGACGCCAGTGCGGCCTTGGGCAAAGAGAGTTTCTCTGTGGGGCCTCAGTTTCTTCCACAGGGAAATGAGAATGTCCTTGGGGGAGTCAGTACCTACTCCTCTCTCAGAGGTTACCTCTAAAAAAGCCTTAGACCACTCAAGCTTTAGACCCAGAGGCTGGCCTCCCTCTTCTTCCTTCCCATAATGAAGATTGCTATTATAGCCCCGAGCATATGGCATTGAGAAGCGACAGATCATTAACTCAGAGGTTAAACACATGAATTCTGGTATTTCAGTAAGTGCTGGAATCTGACCTTTCCCCTTTAGTAGCTGTGTCACCTGGCAAGTCACTTGACCTTTCTGTGCTGTGCATGTCTCATCTGTACGCTGGGAATGGCTACGCCTCTGCCTTCTGGGGCTCTCACAGGTTGGTGGGAGAATCACAAGTTGGGGGGGTCACACAGATAAAGTGCCAGGCACAAAACTTGGGTCAGGTGAGGGGGTCAGCGTCCCTGACTTGCGTAACTGCTGCCCCAGCGACTAGCCAAGTACCCGGACTAGAGCAGTGGCTCATTAAACGTGTGCATGAAAATCTAGGTTCTCTCTCACCCACAGAGGAAGTATCTGGTGCTGGAGAAAGGGGCTGGGGAAAGTCAGCAGAGGCTGTGAGGTGCTCTAGGAAGGATCACGGGGTGAGGTGGAGGCCGCTGGATTCGCCGAGGACAGGGCTGGGTCTCCGCTGCCTCGGTCCTCAGGATGGGGCTGAAAATTGTGTGACCCCCAAGGGTCTTATCACACAGAGGCTCATACCTGGTAGAAGTGGTTGACAGAGTGGCTCCTGGGACCCTTGGGAGTGAAGCTGACATACAGTGTGGAGTTTTCCTTGCTGTGGAGAGAGGGAAGAGCAGAGGTAGAAAGGGGAAGACAAGGACGGGATCTCCAGCAGAGCAGGGACCGGGGGCCAGGGGAAGCCTCCAAGGGACTTCCCCAGGGATCACGCAGGCATGCTTTCCTGTTACCCAGTGCTCTGCTGTTTCCCCTCTGGAAAGTAAGGCTCGTGGAAAGGGGTCCGTCTGCTGCCCAGCATCCTGCTGTGGAGGGCCAGGGCTGGAACCCAGGTGGATATGCTTTGGAGCTGTGTGCTCCCCACCACACAAGGTCCCCCCTGCCCCATGAGGGTCTCCACTGTCCTCTGGGTCCTTTATCTCCCACACAATGGCACCAGCCTCTGGCTTCCTCACCATCTCATCCTTCCAATGACCTTCCTAATGTCACTGTCTGATCCTGCCATCTACCTGCTGGGAATCTGCCGATGGTCCCCTGCTGCCCGCAAGGGTCAGCCCACAGCACCCCCCATGTCCAAACCTGCCCACTGCACACCCCACACCCATTGTCCCCTGTGCCTGCACACTCCCTGTTCCCCAAACCCACCCCACTATCTGCTGCCTCCTTTTGCCTATGCTTTTCTCTATTACGACAACGTCCTTCCTCTTCCCTGGCCCTTATCCGAACCCCTCCATTCTCCAGACCCCAGTTCAAGCCCCTACGTCTCCGTGAATCCATCTCTCTTCCAACTCAAATCACTTCTCCTGGCTCTAATTTCATACCACACTTCAGACAATATCATTGTGTTTGGCATTTGCGTTCAAAAGTACCAGAGACCTTGGCTCAGTCACTGTCCCTGTCCTCTCCCTGAGCCAACTGGAGAAAGCTACTCTGCTTTCTCCCCTTTTCTGTAAATGAGAAAATCCAACTGGTGATCCCCATGGGTCCTTCCTGCCATAATCTTGTGAGACTCTCTTATTCTGTGTACATGTGACCTTGGCTTCTCTTTGTGAAGACTTGTGAAGAGTTTCTCCTTCTCCCTTCCAGGTCCCTCCAGGAAGGGGCTGCATCTAGCATGGGGTTTTGGGGTCATTTAGACCCAAATTCGGACACCAGCAGCCGTGCTGCTTAGCTGTACACCTCTGGGGGAGGTTCCCCCTTCTCTGAGCCTGCCTGTTCCCCGGTAACGTGGAGGGAGGCACAGCTGCCCCACAAGGGGCTGATAAGGTCAACCCTCCATGTGCTTTTTCCTCCATCAGCAAACCGCTGATTTCAGAACTCTTAAAGGGCCTCCGCTCTTCTGGGTGTTGAAAACTCTTGGGCTTGTGGTTGGAAGCAGTTCTGATTACCCCTGGGGGGCCTGAGGAAAGGGGGAGGCTCTGAAGGAGAGCCCTGGGAGGCGAGGCTGAGCCCCGGGTAGGGAGGCGAAGGTGGGAGGAACGGGCAGTAGGCTGCTCAGCCCTCAACTTACTCCTCGGTGAGGATGTTGATGGGGTACAGGATGGGGATGCTGGTGGTGGCCAAGTTGTTCTCCAAGACTTTTGAGTCCTCATTGTCACTGCGCGGGGGCAAAGCACAGGGCAGTGTTAGGAGAAGTGCGTGGCCAGGACCGTGTGGCCATCTGTGAGCCGGGTCAGCGGGGCCCGTGGGGGCCTGCCTGGGGACCTGCTCACCAGCTCACATTGGCGTGCAGCTCGACAAAGTCCCCCCAGGAGCTGTTCAGCAGCGTATGAAACATCACTTGGATGGCAACCTGGCAGGGGAGAAGAGGGGAACGAGGAAGGAGGCATCTCAGGGCGCCCAAGCCCTGATTCCAAAGTCCAAGCTGTCATTCCCTTTGGGGTAGGAGGTGGCGGGGGGCTTCTTTACCCATTACCTACTCCCTTCCCTCCCCACCTCAGCCCGGCCCCTTGGAGGCTTGCGGAGCTTGAGACACTCACCAAACTGCCTGCTTTAAAGATGGGAGAGCTCACATTGCAAGAAAGGATCCTGGTCAGAAGCTTGGATACCTCAGGGAGCTCCTCACAGCTCACGGGTATGTGGGTGTGGGGCTGGGGGGTGAGAAGAGAAGGAACACACTTCTTAGTGGGCAAGGCCAAGGTTCCCGGAGGCCACCAACCCTCAGGGCTCACACCCCCTGCTCTGTCCCTGGGGGGACCCATTCTCGGGGTTGGGGGTGGGGCAGAGAATCAGGGGCACAGCCAGAGGCTTCATTCAAAGATGTTCACTGCAGTGCTGTGTATCATTGTGAAAATCCAGAAGTGATCAAACAGTTCAAAGAGCTAGGAATGGTTCGGCGCCAGGCGAGGACACAGTGAGATCTACACAGTCAGCAATTGTTCTAAAAATGAGCTCGAGGGGCGCCTGGGTGGCTCAGTCATTAAGCGTCTGCCTTCAGCTCAGGTCATGATCCCAGGGTCCTGGGATCGAGTCCCACCCACATCGGGCTCCCTGCTTGGCGGGAAGCCTGCTTCTCCCTCTCCCACTCCCCTTCCTTGTGTTCCCTCTCAGGCTGTTTCTCTCCATCAAGTAAATAAATAAAATCTTTAAAAAAAAAAATGAGCTTGAGCCCTGATCTTGGGCTAAGCAGCACAGAACCATCCATCTTCATCATCATCTGTGAGGACAGATCTCGGTCTCAAATTGGGGAGGGAATTGGATAAGGAGACCGAGGCTTGGGGAAGTCAGGTGACTTCTCCAGGTTCCACCTCTGGGTCACCTGGCAGGGATCTGGTAGGAATGGGAACAGGGGTCTGTCTGATTCCAGATCTCCAGTTTTTCATCACTCTACTAGATGCCCCGTGAGGAAGCGTTTAATGCCATCGGACGAGAATAATTCAAATGTCCGCAGACAGATGACTGGATAAAAAAAAATGGGGTCTATCCATACAATGGATATATTATTTAGCCTTAAAAAAGGAAGCAAATTTGCCCAAGCCACCTCACAAGCCCCACACTAATTCGAGAAGACAGACACAAGAGGACAACATCATATGATTCCACTTCTGTGAAAAATCTAGAGCAGGCAAATTCATAGAGATAAAAAGTAGATGAGAGATGACCGGGGGCTGAGGGAGTTATCGCTTTTAATGGATGGAAAGTTTCTGTTTGAGACGATGGAAAAATTCTACAGAGAGATGCTGGTGGCACAACACTGGAAATGTTCTCAATGCCACCGAATTGTGTGCTTGTAAAGGGTTAAAACGGTTGTGCCATTTTCTATTATGTATATTTTACCACAATAACCATTTGTTTTAAAAATAAGGAGGAAAAATAACCAAATGAGAACAAAATGCCAATCAGTTAAAACAGGTATAGAATTAACGAAGATGCAATGTAGTTTATAAGCACATGCATAGACACACAGCAGGATAAACACCAAAACGTTAAAAGCAGTAACTGTCGGTTTTAAGAATACGGGGCGATAGTCTTCTCTAAGCTTCTCTGGGATTTCCAACTTTCTGGGGGTGATCATGCATTACCTCTGGGCTAATAATTAACAGAGTAAAAGTTGTATCTAAAACAACCTAGGCCACTCCGCAAAAACACGTTGGTCACCTTTCAGAGGGAGGGAGCCGGAGCTCATGAAATCTGTGTCACAGTCTCCACTCCATGGGACCCTCTCACTAGCCCTGCAGGTGCCCCCAGCCTCACGGGTCGAGGGATCCGCAGCCCACGGAGGGAGGGGGTGGCCATCAGCCTGAGAACCCGGATGTGGACCTAAGGCTTCAGCACGCCAGTTGCTGCCCACACCTTCAGGCTGTCCTGTCTGCCTGAGGTTCTGCGAGGGGAGCAGAAGCTGTGGGGACAAGGGTGGCCTCAGGCAGGCCATGCCTTGGCGCTCACCTTGCGCATTTCCACTTTGCGGAAGGAGAGTCCCTGGGGGAAGCTCAGGTTGAGGCGGACCCAGTATGCGTCTTCTTCTAAGTTACTCAGTGTCAGCGACACAGAGAGGCTGGCAGAGGGGGTCAGACGCAGGACTCCGGATCTGTGGGCAAGACCCGGCAAAAGTCACAAGGGCCCAGGTGTAGAAGCAGGCTCAGAGGTGGGGGCTGTCAGAACTGAGGGATCGGCCAGGTGAGAAGAAATAAATACACCGAAATCAGCTCCTGTGCACAGGCTTTGAGGGATTCAACCTCATCTGATCCTGACAGGAGGGTCCACGGGACTGGAATTTCTCAGAGAGGAAAACTAAGGCCCGTAGGACACATGTAGTGAGTACAGATGCGGGTGTTCTGTCTCGAAGCCCCCTGTTCTCTCCCACACCCGGGAGCTGCCTCAGGAAAACACCAAGTGGGACAAAAGAGCCCATGGGATTATAGGCCTCACCCTGGAGAGAACGACACCCTCAGGTCTGCCTCACACTTCTTGTCCTCTCCGCAGTTCTTCTCAAAAGGAATCTGAAAGGCCAAAGAGAAAGACTAGGAGGCCCAGGCCCCAGAAGCACGAGGGACAGACCCTGGCCTCTCCAGCTGCCCCCTTCCCCCTTACCTCCTTGGTCTCTGCATGTAGTGAGGGTCTCAGGATGGGCTGTATGTTCTTGCCCTGCTGAGCACAGAAGGATGGGGGGGGGCCAGGAAACAAGATGGTTAAGTTGAGGCAGCGGAACTGTCGAAGGAGGGCTGAGGAGCTCAGAGCTTGGGGCAGGGATGGGCTGGCTTGGGGGGCCCCTCAGGAGCTCCAGGCGGCACCTCATCCTCCTGACTCCGCCCCAAGGCCACCTGTGCAGCTCCTTAAGGGAAGCTGAAGCTCAGGGTCCACTGGACAGGAGAACCTGGCCTTGACAAAGGAGCTCCAAACCTCCTCCCAGCCCATCTCCTCCTGCCTGTGACTAGCTTTCACTGTGGTCCTCAGCAAACCCCAACTCCCCCCACCCAGAGCAGCTTTCCTTCTCTCCTCAGATCAAGGCCAGTTTTCCCAACATTTCCGGGGTTTCTGCTCCAGGCCAGGCCCTGTGCTGAGCGCTGGGTGCACACCAGGGAACAAAAGAAACACACAGCCCGTGCCCCAGTCTGAGGGGAGAAATGACCAGCATCTTCGAGAGTTTGATGGGACAGTACGGGGTATATTCAGAGCCTGCAGAAGGGAATCCTATCCCCCACCTGGGGATCAGGGAGGCTTCCTGAAGGAATGGATCTCAACTGAATTCTAAACCATGAGCAGGAGAAAGCCAAGGGAGGAAGAAGGGCAAGAGAGATGGCATCTGTGCAAGCAGCAGGAAGATGCTCAGACCCCCTGCAGAGTTTATGTGGGGGAGGGGACGTGGGGGCGGCGAGGGGAGGGCAGGAGTCCACAGCAGGGTCCAGGTTCCCCTGGGTCCTGAAGCCACGTTAGGCAGTTAGGACTTTATCTTGAGGGTAATGGTGTCATAGAAGTGTCCTGTGAGTTATTAGATGAATGTTCTAGAAAGGCTCCAACCTCCTCCACTTCCAGGCCACCTGCCAAAGAACCTCCAGACCCTTCCCCCCAGGGCAGGATTTCTGGGGGCCTCTGCTGACTGCTCCCACCCACCCTCAACACAGATTCCTGCCACTCACTAGACCACAGCCAGCCCCCAAGTGGACATCCAGGGTCTCTGTCTTGCTCAGTTGTCCTTCTCCCAGAAGCTAAGCCCGCCTCCTCATTTCCCTTGACTGTACCACCATAGCTTTCCTTATGCTCTTCCTCTTGCCTCTCCTTAATCCACCTACCCAAAGTCGACTCATTTTGCAAGACCCAGAACCAGAGCCACTTCCCACAGGAAGCCTTTCTTGACAACTGTGAGCCCAAGTCTCTTTTTTTACCCTGAGTTTCTACTCCACACTGCCTGGCTTAAAAAAAAAGAAAAAAAAATAGTGCCCATGGCAGAGGCTGCTGGTCGTCTCCATATATCCTCCCTCGCCACCTGCTTTTAAAACAGACCCTCCCCTTTTTATCAGGTTACGGGGTTGGAAGGAGGGGGGGCCTGGACTGTAGGCTGCGCTTCTCAGGCTCTCAGTTAGGCGTGGCCATGTGACCAAGTTCTGACCAATGAGATGTAAGGGTATGCATCACGTGGGGTTCCAGTCTCAAAGGGAACGGGGTGCTCTGCCAACCTCTTTCCCACGCCTGCTGCGTTGGGTTCTGCCATCTTAGTTGCCTGTGTTCACACTCTGCCTCCTTTCTGAATGTCCGCCTTCTCTGCTCTACCTGGGGACTTCAAGGGTCGCATCTTCCCACGCCTGTCCACAGCCTGTTGTAACTGTCTGTTGACTTGTCTGACCCCCAGAGCAGGCTGGGAACCCCTTCCGGGTAGGGACCATGTTTTATTTGCCTCAGAGGAGCCAGTTCCCCGAACAGGGCTTTGCACAGGCAAGGCTCAATCAACTTCCCTTAAGCCCTTGATGAGCTTCTGGTGGGCGGGGGCTTTCATTTCTGGGGAGCGTGCCACTGTTCCCTGCAGACCCCTGGAAAGTGAGCATGGTCAAGGGAGCCCTCAGCGGGTGCTGCCAGAAGCCACGAGAAAGAGTGCACTTAGCAGTCCCGTGCTCCAACTCTGGGAGAGGCCTCACGATGTCATGTTGCATTTTATGGACGGGGACACAGTCCAAGAGATGGATGGAACCTGCTCAGATGTTCATGCCAGGAAAAAGGAAATCCACATCTTTGGGTGGGAAGGCTCGGGCTCTTTCCACCAGATTCTGCTGCCTTGAAGCCAAACTGCTAGCTGAGCATCAAGGACTTGAGGAGATGAAATCTGGCCTTGGCCCCGGGTGGGGAGTGTGTGGTCCAGCAGATGAGGAAAGGTATATTTTCCTCTTGTTTTACATCATGATGGTCCCCCAATTCAGCTTTGAGGAAACTACCTGTTCACAACTAAATACACTTCAGTGAGAAGGCTGACCAGGGTGCCCTGGCATCCCTGGAACTTGCAGCCTGAGCAGTGTTGGGCTCCTGGGGAGGTCTGAAGCTGGTGCTAGGCAGGGACATTCACTGAAGGGGCTGCGTCCTGAAAAGTCCACCCGTTATCCCCTCCCCTCAAGAGCCCCCAGTGCCTCCACTCTGATTCTCCTTCTTCCCACTCCTGCTTTGCCAAATACAAGCTCCCATACGTTCCTTTCCTACTGTATTTGGTTTCTATCGCTTAAAACCAAAGACTCCTCAATAATACAGTCCTGCTAAACTGAAATTCTACTCTCCTGTTTCCTATCAATTCCCTAGGTGAACGCTTCTTACCGCCTGTTGGTCCCTCGGTGTCCCTTCTTCCTCCGGGAGAGAGAAATTTAGGGAGATGTTGATGGGAGAGATGAGGTCTTGAATGCATACCTGAGGGTGATGGGAATGCCACTTGTGTTGTGAGTTTAATCTTCCAGTTAAATGCTCACCTGGCTTGTACTTTACAAATGGTGAGATTCTAGCATCAGGTGTTTATAATATGCCCGGGGTCCCTTCTCAGCATAAATCAGCTCCCTCAGCCCCAACTCCCATGGCAGACGTTGCTGCTCAACCACCCCACCTTTCCCACTGAGTCCTGACCAAAACCCCTGAATCTCTGTCAAACCGCTCTAGGAAGCCATTACCGAGGTTTGCAAAAGAAAAGAATATTCTAGAATAACTAGAATATCTGAGTTCCTTGAGAACAGGGATGGGTCTTGGCCTTTTATGTTATTCCCAGTCCCTGGGAATACAAAACTGGCACTTTGTAAGCACCCAAATCATCTTCCCCTGAACTCCTTCACCAACCCTAAGAGGCAGGCATTATTATCCCCACATTAGAGAGGAGAAACATAAGGTCAACATATCCCCACATTAGAGAGGAGGAACCTAATGTAATCCAAGTTTCCCAAGGCTTAGAGCTAGGAGGTGAGCCCAAATCCATCCAATCCCCAAGTCCAAGTTCTTCCCATCATGACACACCACCTTTTCTCTGGCAAATTTATGTTGAAGATCTCCAAATCTTATGGGGGGGGGGTAGGGGTGAGTGCAAGGAAGCAGAGGGGCACGGAGTGCAGGTATGAATGAACTAGGAGAGTGAGCTCAGAACTGTTAACACTGTGATGGCTGTTTGGGGGTTCACTGAGCTATTTTTTTTTTTGCTTTTATATGTTTGAAATTTCCCCATAACAAAAAATTTAAAACGAACCTCAGAATCTTTTTGTTTTTGTCAGGGGGGGATGAGGGACAGAGGGAGAGGGAGAGAGAGAATCTCAAGCAGACTCCATGCTGAGTGTGGAGCCCGACCCGGGGCTTGATCTCACAACCCCAAGATCATGATCTGAGCTGAAATCAAGAGTTGGACGCTTAACCAACTGAGCCATCCAGGTGCCCCCAAACTTTAAAATCTTATACACCAATCCCACACCCAATCTCTTATTAAATATTTAAGGGATCAGAATAATTTACCATCAACCCTATTTTACACAGGACTGTTAGAAGCAAACTGAATTTGGGTGTCTCAGTAGTTGCCCAAATTGATATTAAGAAAATCTTTTTCTGCAATGAATGTTAATAATAAATGACTATGGGTACCTGGCAAACCAGGACACGTGCCGTGACTGAATATTCTGTAGCTATTCAAATACTTATGAAAAGCTGGGTAGCAGCATAAATATATGATGTGTGGAAAAATTAGGGGAAAAAATGGGAAGTACTTTCTAATGGTAACGATGTTAAAACGCCTACATCCATAGATTAAGAACTAGAGGAAATATGCTAACGGTATTATTACCACTATTACATGAGGAAATGGTGGTGTCAAGAGACCCAAGGGCCTTGTGACCCAGCCAGACGGTGACGGAGCTGAGCTTTGCACTGCTACTGCCCGTCACCGTGGTCAGCTCCGCCACACCCGCACTTCCTAGGGCAGCCCCCACGGCTCCTTACCGGGAAGTGGAACCAGAACTCGGTGCAGGATGGTTGTCCAGTGACCACTGTGTGCCCGCTGAGTTCATGTCTCCCTCCCAGGAACAGTCCCCGGCTTCTGGTCCGATGGCCATCCAGCTGCAGAGTGTAAGTGAGGTTGGCAACCAGCAGTCCTGGGCAGGGAGAAAAGTCAGAAGTTGAAGGGGCAGGGTGGAGGGGGTGCCCTGGGGCCATAAGCAGCTGCTCTGGGAAACGGCACTGACCTTGAAATTGGAGAGTGAGAGGCTTGACCTGGAAGCAGACTGTGATGTTAACTCCTTCTTTCTTCTTGTTACTGGGTGAATAGGAGCATTCCACTTCGTGTACCGGGATCTCCGCCGGGGAGAAGGTTATCTGAGTGAGAATGTCCACCACGGGCCGGGAGCTGTGGAGTGGAAAGCAACGCTCTCCCTGGGCCTCAACTGTATTCCCAGTCAGACCTGGGGCTCCTTCTACAAGCATCCAGAGGACTCTAATCCCCAAAAGCAGACCTCAACAGCCCTGTCTCCTCGAAACAGTAATAATAATGGTAATTCATTAGGGCTTCCCATTTCCTTCTAGAGGCCCTCTGACCCATTTTCCATATGGAAGAATGAGCTTTGGGGAAGTGAGGGGAACAAGGAGAAAGAAACAGAGAATCCCAAGCAGGCTCCACGCCCAGGGCGGAGCCCACAACAGAGCTCCATCTCCCGACTCTAAGCTCAGGACCCGAATGCAAACCAAGAGGCAGACACTCAATGGTCTGAGCCACCCAGCTAAGTGACTGGGGTAAGACCACCCAAGAAGTAAATGGCAGAGCTTGGACCTGCATCTGGGTGACCAGTTTCTAGAGCCGTCCCTGGCTGCTGCTTCTCTAGGAGGTTGTAATGTCAGACTGGCCTGGGTTCAAATCCCAGTCCATCACTGAATTGCAGCGGTTTAAAGCAGAGTAAGACATGAAGGCTGTGTGGGAGGAGAACCTCTCTGCTGGGGCTGGGGGAAGACTAGAGGAGTCCTACTACATGGGGAGCTGTTTGAAGGACGAGAGCTGTGGTCATCCTTACTCCTGTCTTACCTGAGCACAACCACCAGCCCCTCGGCTCCCACAGCCACATCCGTCAGGCCGTCTCCTCCGAGGTCTTTCACCCCATGGATGGAGCGTCCAAACCATCGAATTCCCGAGGACACCTGGGTCCCTTTGATCCGCTGAGATCAAGAGAAAAATTCCTGTTAAGCTAGGGAGAGGACGGGCCGGAGGGTGGGACGAGTCGGGCTGGGGAGCGGGGTCTGGGTTTGGAGGCTTCTGGGTGCCTGGGAATGGGTTTGGGGGGCCAGGCAGGGCTCTTCTCACCTGGCTTGGCCGGGGGCTCAGCGCCCCATGCTGCCCGTTGAAGATGTACACAGCCCCCTGCTCCTCCAGAGGGGACCCTACAGCCACGTCCACCAGCCCATCCCCGTTGATGTCCGTCAGGGCTGCGATGGCTGCTCCAAACCGCCCAAGCGGGTAGCCAGGGTCCCCCTGCAGCTCCGAGACCACTTCGAACCCCCGCTAGGAAGGAGCAAAGTGACAGGCTCCATCCACCTCAGTCACTTGGCCAGCGTTTGCAGGGGGCGGCCCTGCGTGCTTGGAGAATGCTGAAGGAGGGTCAGGTGTGGTCTCTCACAGAACCGGCCCAGTGCAGCAGACTGACCTGGGCTCAGGTCCCAGCTCCACCCCTGGTTGTCTGGGTGACCTTGGGGCTTTGGAAGGTGACCCAGCCTTGCTGAGCCACAGTGATCCCGTTTATGAAGGAAAAGCTCAGGGTTTCCCAGAAGGTGACTCTGTGAGGACCACCCAAGGTGTCCTGTAAATAAAAGGTTTGGCCCTGGGCCTGGCACACAGCCTACCCTCCCTGGGCACGGAGGCTCAGGTCCCGTGGTTCTAAAGGTCCATTCCACTGTGACCCAACAAGGAAAGCCTTTCCGGACAATTGGGACCCGGGTCGGCTGGGAATCTGTTTCTCCTCCCACCTCCTGGCGGTCCTGGTCCCCACCTGTTTTTTCTGGTAGATAAACACCCGGCCTCCTCTCTGCTCCCCATAGAACAAGGGGGCTCCGATCAGCAGCAGCTCTGTCTCCCCATCTTGGTCCATGTCAACGCCACACAGCTCACCACCGAAGTAAGAGCCAATCTGTAGGGAGAGGAAGAGGACCGAGGAAGCCCCATGAGTGGGTACATGCTTGCAGACAGCAGGGAGCATGACTGGCGCCCTACCAGTCCCTGACCTGCAGAAGACCCCAGGGTCATGCTCACCTGGCTGCCATCTATTTTCTGGATTTGGTTCCAGTGTTCTTTGTCCTCTGACTCCTGGAACAGCAGCACCCGCCCCACGTGCTGGTAGCGGGGGGCTCCAGTGGCCAGCAGCAAATTGAGCCTTTGGGAGGGCAGCAAGGTCACTGTGTAACCTGAGGGGGGTGAGGGAAAGAGAGAGAGAAAGAGAGAAAGAATGGGCAAGAGGGAGGACAGGGGCTTGGAATCAGGAGCACAGTGGCGGCTGGAAGAAGGTAAAACCCAGAGACAAAAAAGAGCGGAAACTCTGGGAAACTGGGTTAGAAGCAAAGATGCTGTGAAACAGAGGACCTTCCCCAGAGAAAAGCAGCCATGTGCTCCAAGGGGCACATATCCCGCCATCTTGGTCTGAAACTGCATTTCTCAAACTGTGGCCAATGCACAGGCCCAGGAAAAAGCAGCCAGGAAACCTGGAGCATCTTCCTGAGCCTCAGCTGACCAGAAGGTTGAGAAAGGAGACTACACTATTTAATCACATAACGGGGCCCCTGGGTGGCTCAGTCGGTTTGGCATCTGCCTTCAGCTCGGGTCATGACCCCCGGTTGGGCTTCCTACTCAGTGGGGAGTCTGCTTCTCCTTCTCCCTCTGCCCCTTCCCCCTGTGTGTTTTCTCTCTCTCTCTCTCAAATACATAAATAAAATCTTTAAAAATTAAAGTGAGATATAGTCATAAGATGAATGAAAAATCTGCATGAATATTAAAAATAAGGCAGGAGACTTGAACACATTTTGTTTGGAGTTGTCTCTTCAAGGCTACCCTCCTAGTCCACAGCTTGTATGGGCAACAAGGTTTCTCCCTGTGAGTACGTTGCTGGGATGGCTGAGAAATGCTGCCTGAAACTGGACCAGGGATCGTGCTCGAGCCAGCACCCATCCATTAGGGACGCTCTGATTCAGGAAGACGACTAACTGACCCTTCATCTTCTCTGCTTAGAGTAGTGCAAAGGAGCAACACAAACAGAGCCATCCGAGACACCACCATGCAGGAGAAGAAGGGCAGAGAGGCTGAGCCCCTTTCCCCTCCATTCGTGCACGTTCTTGGAGTGTGGGAGTTGGGAACTTGCTGGTGGAAATCAGGGGCGAGGTTGTATTCTCAGTGCCTAAGCCTCCCAGCTGTGTGATCTTGCATAATTACGTCACGCCCTGAGGCTCATTTTTCTCAACCAAAACACGGGATAGGACAGGATGGTTTTGAGGATTCAAGACGACCACATATGGAGGAGGATAGTACCAGGGCGCCCAAGATTATTTATTTATTTATTTATTTATTTATGTTAGCAGGAATTGAAATTTTTTTTCTTTTTTCTTCTTCTTTAATCATGTCCATATATACACAATATATGCAGCATGTGTGTGTGTGTGTGTGTGTGTGTGTGTGTGTGTGTGTGTGTGTGTCTAGTGGTACCGGTGCCTAATTAGAGAGTAAAATATGGATTATTTTTTCTTGAACGAGCAATGTTGCTGGCTGGCTCGCAGAACACTGTGGGACGCAAAGCTCCTTGAAGGTGATAGTGTAGGAGCTAAGTGTAATAGGGCCGCCGGGGGGGGGGGGGGCGGTCGGTTGAACAACCAACTTTTGATTTCAGCTCAGATCATGATCTTGGGCTCCTGGAATGGAGCCCCGCGTCAGGCTCCATGCTCAATGGGGAGTCACCTCCGGGATTCTCTCTCTCCCTCTGCCCCTCCCCCCTGGCTTGTTCGCTCTGGAATGCACGTGTTCTCTATCTCTAACAAAAAAATAGAAATATTTTTAATTTATTTTTATATTTTATTATATTTTAATTATATTAAAAAATAAATAGTGTATGTAATTAAGATACCTACTAGCATGGTTATAGTAAGAATAAAATGAGATAAAATTTGTCAATACATGTCATGTGCTTAGACCAGTGCCTGACACATAATACTCAGTAAAGAATGTCAAAAGGGAGAGAGAGAGAAAGTCATGGAGAGTAGCTTTCCTTATAAGAGTAGATGCAAGATGAAGGGCACTAATTTTCCCAAGGAAATTATGTAATGAAGTCTTTGTTTCTGAGAGTTTATTTTTAAAATTTTTTATAAAGCATAGATATATTTTTAAGATTTTATTTATTTATTTGTCAGAGGGACAGAGAGAGAGAGTGAGCACAAGCAGGGGGAGTGGCAGGCAGGGGAAGAAATGGGCTCCCTGCCCAGCAGGGAGCCTGATGCGGGGCTCGATCCCAGGACCCTGGGGTCATGACCTGAGCTGAAGGCAGATGCCCAACCGAATGAACCACCCAGGCGTCCCTGTTCTGCGAGTTTAATAAAGACATGGCCTGCCCCTATACACTGGTCATGGATGAGGCGGGGTGAGAGGGTTTCTAGGTAGAGCCTGGAAGCAGTCCTATCCCAGGGCTCTTGAAGCCAGTCTGTGCCTTGACACGGGTTGACTACATGAGCATGAACCAGAAGAGCTATAACCTCTGTGCACAAGAATAAGGCCTCTCTGTGCCTGAGACTGTCAACTCCTTGGGTTGACCAGCAGCCCCAGAACTGTGCAGGACAAGCTCACAACAGGGACACCATGAGTCAGAGAGAAGCAACTGCAACTGTGGACTGACCAGGTGCCTTTGTTCCGCCCTTGGCATCTGAAGAACTCTTGAGGTGAATCAACCTTGGAGTTCGTGGGCAATTCTAGAGAAGGAAGCCTCAAGGAGGACCCTCAGGTTCCCCTACTAATGAGGCAGGCTGCTGTAAAATGGACCTAGAATTTAATTTATGGGTAAGACACAGAGAGGTCGCTGAGTAGGCAAGCTTGAACAAGCTTTGGATGGGACGGTTTGAACAATGCTGGCTGGCACTGGTCTACAAAGGGTGGTCCTTAGCTAACTAGAGATTCAGGTCGGGGGGAATACTGGCTTGGTGTGTGAAAGTTGGGTAAAGAAGGTGGCTGGGGATACGGGCTCAGGGTTGGTTGGCTGGCAAACTGCTCACAGGCCCCTTGTTCACTATCTGTAGGAGTTAGCTAGCCCCGGGAGGGGCAGTGTCTCTGGGATTCGCAAGGCCTCAAGATGTCCAAGCATCATAAAATGCAGAAAACAAAAACATGACTACTACACAGCGGAGGAGATATTAAGGGGAAAATTAAGAACATTATAACCCTGGGGCACCTGGGTGTCTCTGTGGGTTAAGCCTCTGCCTTTGGCTCAGGTCATGATCTCAGGGTCCTGGGATTGAGCCCCACATCGGGCTCTCTGCTCAGCGGGGAGCCTACTTCCCTCTCTCTCTCTCTGCCTGCCTCTCTGCCTACTTGTGATAAGTAAAATCTTAAAAAAAAAAAAAAAAAAAAAGAACATTGCAGCCCTATTTAAACTCCGAGTTTGTTCATGCTGGTTGCTTAACTACCTTCATTACGGTTTTGAAAGTTGTTCTGAGTGACCCTGGCCCCTCAGACCAAAAGAAAGCAGCAGAAAAGTACTCACCCAAATAGCCTGATCTCGCTTCCGGTGTCAGTGGCTCATTTCCAACAAAATTATCATCCTGCAGGTCTGCCGTCAGGTCTAGGAAGCCCCCAGCCCAGTCCTTGGCTCCAACCGCCCCCACGACGCCATGGCCCTGCCCAGGAAGGAGACGAGCAGGCTTAGCCTCGTGCCCACAACATCCTTCAGCCCACCCCACCGTGCCCACAACATCCTTCAGCCCACCCCCCCCCCCGCTGCAGGCCCGCCACTCACGTGGCTGAGGTCAGCGCTGATCCCGCTAGAGGACAGCTCCATGTTGAAGGATGTCAGGTCCTGTTTGCTGGTGCCTAGGGACGAGGTAAAGAGAATGGGTGGACACTCGAGGAAGGACCGAGAAAGAAGCATGGCACCGGCCTTTGGGCAAGGTAGAAACCACCTGCATGCCCGTCGGACTGGGCAGTGACATGGGCTGAGCTCAGTGTGAACCCGGGCAAACAAGTAGCTCTGTGGTTCTGCTCCCACTCAGGCTTCCCCACCACATCACCAAATCGGGATGGTTTTAGGTTCACAATGCATCTGCGGCCTTCTCTGAAGAGCGTGCAGGCCATCACACAGGGCCCAGCCATCCTCGCCTTTTGCCTGACAACTGTCCTCGCTTACCCATTCAGTCCCTGACTTCGTTCTTCCTCTTGTCGTGTCTTTTTTCTGCAGAGCAAGCTGGAGTAATCTTTTGAAAAAATGTCTATCAGACCACACATTTCCGTTTCTCAAAAACCCTTCATCCCTTGCCATCGCTCTTTAGATCAAAACCCCAGCTGCTTATAAGGAACTGGAAGGCCTGGCCTCTCTCTCCCACGTTGTCTCCCTTGCTCATCAGCTCCTGTCATGCTGACCTTTTTTGTTCCTCCGGCTTGCCTGCCCTTCCCCACCTCTGGGCCCCACGCTGGCTCTTCTCCGACTTCAACGGTCTTTGCCCACATTCCTCACGTGGCTGTTCGAGTCTCATCTTTCGTGTCTCGGTTCGAATGTCATCTCAGAGTGAATTCTACCTCCATTAAAAAATAAAGCATCTAGAAAGGCCTTTTGAAAAGCCCATCTCACGTGGCTTCCCCTAGTGAAATCTTTCTATCCAGTTTATTAATTTCCTTTACAGCACCTATCATCATCTCTAATTACCCTGTTCTTTTGTTTTCTGCCTTTCTTTATCCAACCTGAATATGAGCCCCATGTTGACAATATCCCTGAGTGCATTTTTTATTTTATTTTATTTATTTATTTGACAGAGAGATAGCACAAGTAAGCAGAGCATCAGACAGAGGGAGAGGGAGAAGCAGGCTCTCCACCGAGCAGGGAGCCCGATGTGGGGCTCCATCCCAGGGATCATGACCTGAGCTGAAGGCCACCGCCCAACTGACTGAGCCACTCAGGTGCCCCTGAATGTCTTATTCACAGTACCTGGTTAGTGCAAGCCTGAATTAATAAAATGAAAATCATCCCACAAGCCTTGCCAAGCTTCTGAGAGGAAGGAATTAAATGATATAGAAAAAGTGCCTGTTACCTTGTAAAACTTTCAAGAAATACAGCAATTACCATGATTTTGTTCATTGTTCATTCACTGCATAAATAATACTGCACATAATTTAATACAATGTAAGCTTCGGGGCCTCTGAGAGGGAGCATACAGCCCTTAACAGCGGCACCCGGAAAGAAGCCCTCAGCCTAGACTCAGGTTTGGGGAGAACTTATCAGAGGAAGTGACATCTAAGATACCATCTGAAGCATGAGTCAGGGCAGGTCAGGATAGACGATCAGAGCCAGAGATAACCAGCTCTGCGATTTACAGAGGGCCTGCGAGGTACCAAGCACTCTGCTAAGCTGGCATTGGGGCTTGAATTGTGTTGTCTAAAAAAAAAAAAAAAAAGTTATTTTCACGACCTAAGCCCTACTACTTGAGAATATGACCTTGTTTGGAAATAGGGTCTTTACAATGCACTCGAGTTAAAATGAGGTCACTGGGGTAGGCCTCGATCCAACAGGACCCAATATTTTATAGTGTCCCTATGAAAGAGGGAAGTGTGGACACAGACAGACACGCACAGAGAGAAGAGGACGTGAGGACAGACATGCAGGGGCTTGTAGAGACGCAGATAACAGAAGTGATGCAGCCACAAGCCAAGGGATGCCAGGGACTGCTGCGGACGCCAGAAGTTAGAAGAGGCGAGAAGTGTTCTCTCCAAGACCTGTCAGAAAGAGCCTGCCCCCGCCCGCCCCTTGACCTCCGACTTCTGGCCTCCCGAAGTACAAGACACTAAATTCCTGTTGGTTTAAGCCTCTCGGTTTTTGGTACTTTGTTACAACAGCCCTAGGAAACTAATACAACAGTCAAACCTCCCAAAGCTGTGAGACTGGTATTATTAGCCCCAGTTAGCGGAGAACTCAGTAAGCCTCAGAGAGAGAAAGTAACCTGGCTGAGGTCACACAGCACAGGCAGAATGCCTTCCTGAGCGGTCTGCCCAGTCCCATTATATACACCACTTGCTTCTTCAACCGAACCAAACACAAAGCCCGTGTCCTAGCACAGGCGCCTTCCCAGAGGAAATCCCGTAGCTTTCCCGGGATTCCTGGGAAAATACCCCCCACCCAGAGCAAGTCCTCCATCCCGAGACTGCAATCCAAACCTTCTCTTACTGCAGACCAAGAGGGCCTGTGGGCTCCTTGCACTTGGTCCCCAGCCCACTAGTCCACCGTCAGTAAGTGGAGACAAGGGAAAATGAGGGAGCTGAGTGGGGTTGGGGAGGGTGGGAAATTCTACTTCTTCCACAGGCCTCGGTTAACAACAGCAAGCTAGAGGTCAGTTCGGGGCCTCACCCTGGCCCCAGCTGAGTTTTATGAGGAAGATGGAATTTCAGGGAGAAACAGAGGCTGCTCCTCAAGGGTCCCTCCCCCAAAACCCCCCCCAAGGCGCTTTTCCAGGAGAGCCCTTCTCACAGCCTCAGACACTCTGAGCTCCCGTTACTACCATCACCCAGCATGTCGCTAGTCTGATTGTCCCAGATGCGCTTCCGTAAGCGACTTCCCCTCTCTCTCCCCAACCCCGGGTTTGCCACTCACCCTCAATGACATAGATCTTCTTTTGCAGCTCAGTGAACAGATCTTTAAGCTTCTCAAACGTGTCCAGGATCTTTACAAAATCCTTCGCAGGTTTTGAGGCAAATTCATGGAGCCTTTCCTGACTTTCCTTGGTCTCAAAATGCTTCCCGATCTGTGAGAGAGTGAAGACTGGAGAGTTGGCGTCCCCAGATTCGCAGATAAGGCCCTGCCTCCCCGCCAGGAGAAAGGGGAGTGAGGATAGGGAACAGGAGAGGCAGGATAGGACTTGGGAAGTGGCCAGCACCCGACCATACCCCGATGATGTAGCGGGTGATGTCTTTGGCTGAGTCAATGTTGGCGTGGTCCGTGGCTTCCCCATCAGTGATGATGATAAGCACTTTGGTGGCATCTGGCCGGGCCCCCAGGTCTTGCCGGAACACCTCTTTCCTGTATCCCAGAAGAGGCACATGTGAAAGACTCCCCCACATCATGAGGGCTCCCCCCACTCACTCAGCTCATTAAGTCACTGTCCTGCTGGTTATGCAAAAGCCCTTCTCCCATCCCCCAGGCAGGCAGGTGTTCCCAGACTTCCAAGTTCTCTTCTGAACTTCCTACCTCACCCCAGCTGCCACCCCCTCCTTCCAGACCAGTAGTCTTCGATGGAACTCTGGGTTGCCAGGGGTTGTCCTGGAGCCCATGGGCAGTGACAGGGAGGCTTTGTGAGGAGAGACTCTGGGCTTCCTACTCTCCAGTTCAACCACACAACAACTATCCTTTTATTGGGTAGACATGTTGGGGATCCAGGTGCAATTTCAATATGGAAAAAGGGGCTCCACGGCTAGAGAAAATTGGGAAGTCATGCTTCCAGAACGAGCTCATCTGGCAGCACCCCACCATTGATGGCCAGGCTGCCTGTAGGTGTCTCTGCTACAGCAAGTCTCCCAGGGAATGGAATTCACCTATTTCGTTTCAGTTTTCCCCAGATCATGAGTTCCCCAGGGGAGGAACATGTCTGATTTGCTCCTGTGTCTCTGGCTCCTGACACAGGGCAGGTGCTCAGCACATATGACATAAAAGGGAGAAGGGAGTCCTGAACACTGGACAGGCCCATGCTCCAAAGTCGCACCTGCCCACGGCCTTCTTCTGGATCAAGACAGGGTGCCCACAGTTTCTGTTAGGACAGCAGTTCTCCCTGTGCCATCTGATCCTTTCCTCCCCACCCCACAGCTCACTAGAGACGGACAATTAATCCAAGAGCAGCCCGTCTACACAGACTACAGCCCTTGACTTATGACATGACCTGACTTGGGAGCAGAAGCTGAAAGTCACACAACAGGGTTGGGAGGGGTGGGGAGTGACAGGTGGAGAAGCTCTGATGGGGCAGGGCCAAGGCCTCTGTTCCATCTTGGGTGCAAATTGTTTCCCCAGCCTCTGTCCACATGGACATGGCCTCTCATGGCTCCTGTTCATGGATTTCCACCCTGGTTTAAACCGCCATCACCTCTCATCTCTATTTTTCAATAGCCTTCTACCTGGCCTTCCTGCTCCACCCCCGTCCCCTTCACAGCTTAACAGCCCTGCAACCAGAGGAATACTTCTTTAAAAATATATATTTTATTTATTTATTTGAGAGAGAGCACGAACAGGGTGGAGGCAGAGGGAGAAGCAGGCTCCCACTGAGCAGGGAGCCCGAAATAGGGCTCGATCCTAGGACCCCGGGATCATGACCTGAGCGGAAGGCAGACGCTTAACCGACTGAGCCACCCAGGCACCCCAGAGGGATCCTTTTAAGAACATAAATCAGATTATCACCCCTCTGCTCAAAACCTCCAGTGACTTCTCATCTCACTCTGAGGAAAAACCAAAGTCCTCCCTATGGCCTCAAAGGCCCTAAGTGTTCTGGACTCCCATGGTCTGTCCGACCTCATCTCCTACTACTTTTCGCCTTCACTTATTTCTCTCCAGTCACACTGTTGTCCTGGTTCTTCTTGGAACATCCCAAGCATTTACTATTCCCTCTCCCTGGAATGGTCTTCCCAGGTATTGGCATGGCTGCTTCCTCGCCTCCAACCAATCTTTTTGCAAATGTAACCTTCCCTCATCTTCCTACTGCCTAATGCTTTCTTTTTCTTTATAAAACTTCCATCTTCAGGAGCCTGGGTGGCTCAGTGGGTTAAGCCTCTGCCTTCGGCTCAGGTCATGATCTCAGGGTCCTGGGATTGAGTCCTGCATCAGGCTCTCTGCTCAGCAGGGAGCCTGCTTCCTCCTTTCTCTCTCTGCCTGCCTCTCTGCCTACTTGTGATCTCTCTCTGTCAAATAAATAAATAAAAATATAAAATATATATATTAAAAGAAACAAAACCAAAAACTTCCGTCTTCTACTACAGTATCTAATTTACACACTGATCCTATCTATTGCGTTTCTCTCTCCTAATATAATGTTAAACTGTCAAGAGAGTAGAGATTTTTGTTTCATTCGCTGCTATAGTCCCAGAACCCAGAACATGACAAACAACAACCCACAGGCCAAAGTCAGCCCACAGATCGCTTCTGTGTATGGTCCATGAGCTAAAAATGGTATTTACGTTTCTGGCACCCCAGAATCCATGTCTGTGCCATGTGACTTGATGCCTAAGGCAGAGCTGAGTGGACCTGTAGACACCCAGCCTCGGCCAATCAGATTTTCTCTCCTGGAAGCTGGAGTTCAGTTTGGTCACCTGGACTGAAGAGCCAAGGCTGTCATTTTTTTTTTTCTGGTGGACTTGGCTTGCCATGTACCCACCAAAGCAGTCTACAAAGAGAAGAATGAAGTGGCTATGACAGGTCAAGTGAGCCTCAGAAGAAAAGGGCTGGGAACACTTCTGTAGGGCCTTGAGAAGATTCATCCCATGCATATTTAACTTATGCAAATCCAGCTGTACAATCTTGGCGAAGAAATAAGAATCAGAAAAATAAGTGTCATGGCCCAGGAAATCCTTCCTGCTTTTTGACTTAATTTTTGTGTATGCCCAGGGGCAGCATGAGAAGGAAAGATACAATTCTCTTATTTCCCAAATCGTTTTCAGGTTCTCTGGCCACTTTAATGTGTAAAGACAGATATTTCTATTTTTAAAATTGTTGTTACTACTATTATTATTATTATTTTAAGTAGGCTCCTTGCCCAGCACGGAGCCCAGAGTGGGGCTTGGAGACCTGAGCTGTGATCAAGAGTCAGACACTTAACCTACTGAGCCACCCAGGTGCCCCATAGGTATTTTTAAAAAATATATAACACAGGCTCCTGGGAGTTGTAGTTCAGTCCACTGGCACTGCTGTGGCTCGACGCTGGCCTCTGTCTGTGGCACGTGCCACTGTGGGGCTTAAGAACAGCCCATGGATAAATCCTATGAAGAGGTGGGGATTAGGGTCATACGGCAGGCGAGGCCATGTTTGGATTTCCAACAGCCACTCTGCTGGACTCTCATGGAAGATAGGCCCAGAGTGTAGTATTTTTCAGTGACCATGATGACAGAAGCCTAGTGCAAATATGATCACTCTGAGGCCATGAGATCCTCCAGCTGGGATTTCCAGAATTCGTTTGAAGGGAGAAACTGGAACAAAAATCCCCAGATTCTAAGACACTATAGGAAGATTCACCTGGAGACAGAGGATCTCTGAGTGTCAGGAATGTGCAAAATCCTTCAGGGCAAAAAGGCAGTCTAACCTTGCACAAGAGAATCCACACTAGTCCGAAGCCTTTTGAGTGTACCTATTGGGGAAACAGCTTCGGGGCCAAGGGCAATCTTGTTACATATCAGCAAATATACACAGGAGAGAAGCCAATCAGTGCAAGGAGTGCTAGAAAAACTCTAGTCAATGAGGTAGTCTGGCCATTAGTGAGAGAACCCACACTGGACAGAAACCCTATGAGTAGGCTATTTGTCAGAGAAGCTTCAGAAATCAAACCTGCTGTTCATAGAAGAGTCCGTGGTGAAAAGCCCTACAGATATGGCCAGTGTGGAAAAGCCTTCAGTCAGAAAGGAAGGTGAATTGGTCACATCAGAGTCCACACAGGCCTGAAATCTATGCCTGTATGAAGTGTAAGGAGAGTTTCCACATCAGGGAGCATCTGTCTATTGCAAGGCAAAATCCACACAAGAGAGACACCCCAGCTGTGTGTCCCATGTGGGAAAAGTTTCACTCAGAGAGGGAGTTTGGCTGTGCACCAGTGAAGCTGCTCAAAAGATTCACTCTTCGATCACTCTCTTCAAAGGAGTTTCTCTTCATGAATGAAAAGTACAAAATCCTCAGATCAAGCAACCTATCCCATTCTACAGAATGATGGAGACTCTTTCAGAAAGACCATCATTGAGTTGGGCAAACTGATTTTTCTCCTTTCCCCCAAATGAGTACGAAAAGTAAATGTCTTGTTTATAATCATTAACCCCCAAAAAATCAAATAAAATATACAACATGGCCCTTCAGCACAATCCAACTGCATTCATCCAGGCCTCAATTGAAACACAGCCATCTGGTCTACCTCCAGGAGGAAGACCTTCTAGAGCAGATTTAGGACATCAGGATATACCTGCTTCCAATGAGGGACTCGAGTATATTGAATTTTATGAATAATTCAAGGAATTCCTCAAGGAGAATTTTCACTAGTAGAGATTTTTGTTCACCTGCTGACTTCCAAAGCTGATCCCCAACTCATATGTGACCCAACCATGGCTGTCATGTTCACGATCACTTTCCAAGTTCTTAGCACTAGATCCTCGTGAGGTTTGGCATTACTCCCTGTCCCAAAGTCTCATGATCTACCCCTGCGTCCTCCCAAGAATTGCCGTTGGGGATTTAGTTAGTATGAAGTAGATTCCTGGACTAGGGGAGCCTGGGAGACTCAGTCAGTTAAGCATCACGTCATGATCCCTGGGTTCTGGGATTGAGTTCCGCAATTAGGCTCCCTGTTCAGCAGGGATCCTGCTTCTCCCCACCCCCGCTGCCTATCCCCCTGCTCATGCTTTCTCCTTCTCTTAAGTAAATAAATAAAATCCTTTTAAAAAATGAAAGAACCTGGACTAACATTGCTCCACTTGAATTCCTATAATAGCCTGCCCCTTGCTAAGCCCATCTGTTGAGTTCCTATACCCTGCAACCTAAGGGGGTCAGTGCAACTGACACGTGGGCTGTCTCCCACAAATGGGGACTCACGCGACATAGTTGATGGCACCAAAGGTGTTGGTCAGTTGGCGCATGTGTTCTACTTTGCCCAGCAGAACATCAGGGTTCTTCGTCTTAACATAATCCAAGAAATTAAATTCTGTTTTGTGGTCCGTGGAAAACTGAACGGCAGCAAACTAGAAAAAGAAGGAAGAAATGAAATATCACTTCATATCCCTTCCTATTTGTCTGCTCCAATCTATTTTTTTTACTTCTTTTAAAGATTTTATTTATTTATTTGACAGACAGAGATCACAAGTAGGCAGAGAGGCAGGCAGAGACACAGCAGAGGACCTGACAGGGGGCTCGATCCCAGGACCCGGAGATCACAACCTGAGCCGAAGGCAGAGGTTTAACCCACTGAGCCACCCAGGCGCCCCTCACTTTATTTTTAAGTAATCTCTATCCCCAACATGGGGCTCAAACTCATAACCCCCTTGCTCTTCCAACTGTGCCATCCAGGGGCCCCTTCTAGTCAATTTCTTATCTGGGACCTGGGTAACCCAACCCCACATTCCTGCCTCAGAGCATTCTTTTGAAAATGAAGTAATATATACACAAACACAGAAATAAAATGAACTAAACCTCTGATCCCTTTTGTAGTGCCATCTGCTGAACTCCTATCCTCTGGGAATGGTTCTGCTGAGGGACCCCGCTAAGCTGGATACAGCTGGTTGGGCCACACATGCCACTCAGCTGAGACTAGGCCAGTGAGAATCTATTCTCCAAGAGTTTGAAATTTGCAAAAGGAGGGGTTGGTGGAGAGGACGGGAAAACCCTCCTGAAACTTTAATTTGTGAGCTTAGGAGCTTTCCACAGGCCCATGTGATCCAAAGAAGCTGAGGGAGTCAGTGTGTGGAGAGAGAAGAGGGAAGCAAAAGCCAAAAAGAAACAGAAATGAGAACTAACGAGAATCCCAGACACTTTCTACTTCCTAGTTTCTTGTCTCTTCCAGAGGTCCAGTCCAACTATGCCTTTAGGTTCTGAAGACACCTCATAGTAAGTTTTTTCTTTTATGCCTTACGTTAGCTCAACCAGGCATCTATTGCCTACAATCAGGAGAACGAATTAATATATTTACCTGGTAGGAAGAGTTGCTGAGTTTCTTCATCACATCCTTCATGAAGTCCACAATCTTCTGAAATTCATCTGTCTGCAAGCTCATTGAACCATCAAACAGGAACACCAAGTCCACATTGCCCTTTATACATTCTAGAGAAGCCAGACACAAAGGGACTCGGTGAAATGTCTCCATGGGTTGGCGGGCCCATGCTGTTTCCATTATATGGGCAGCTACGTGGGAGAGATTTTTACCCACTGGATCCCCAGCTCCTTACCCTGATAACCAGGGCGCCCTTGCAGCACAGGACCCTTCAGATTCTGGTGGAAAATGTAACACAAGCCACTTAGGTAGACATTCTGGTCACACGTCCGAGACAGCCCAGGATCACATGCCTGAAGGAAGCAAATGTTCAAAAAAAGGGGTGGGTGGGTCTTCTTCCTTTGTGTCTTCTGGGCCCCCTCAGCCAAGAACAAGAACCTTCAGAGTCACCACCCCCTGACCTCACTCCCTACAACCGACAGGTGACCAAGGCAAGGCAATTCTGCCCCAGGTCTTATAGCTGCCTCTCCATCCCTACTGCCAAAGCTGTGTGCCAGGGGAGGCTCACTGCCTAGAGGATAGAGTCTAAGCTCCTGAGCTGGGCATTCATACTGTTTACAGTTGGACCCTCTCCTACATTTCCAGGCCTATCCCCTTCCATTCCCAATCACATCTTGTTTTTAAGGCAAATCACCCACTCTTCCCAGAATATACAATATTATTTCTTTCATTTATGACAATATTTCCTGCCAGACTGCAATTTCTCAAAAGTCCGGGCTCATGTTATCTTTATCACTCACTTGTCTGACCCTGTAGGAGCCTAGCACATTGGCTGGCATGTAAAAGTAGCTAAGTAAACAGGTCTCCATCAATGCTAGCTAAATGCTTCACTTAGCCAGCCTTCTATCTCATACACCTGTGTCAGAAGATGCTGCTGGGATGAACTGTAAAGGCCAGCAGGCTTGGAACCAAAGGGGAATTTGATTCACATCCTGGCTCTACCTCTTTAAAACCATGTGACCTTGGTCAAGCCTCTTAAGCCCTTGGGTCTCGTTTCCTTGTGTGTAAAATGTGTATAAGGATCCCTGATCCTTCCCAAGTGTACTGAAGGTTAGAAAAGAGAACTTCAGGCATTTGTGCATCACTTCCCAATTTCTGGGCTTATTATGCAGACTAGTATTTATTTAATGTTTTATTTATTTCAAATTTATTTTTTATTTAAATCTTAGCCTCATCTCAAGAAATCTGATCCAAGACATCATTTATTTGATGTGTTGTATATTTTTCCCAACAAACTATTAAATAAAAATATAATTATAAAACGTGGAAAGTCTGTGTACCACCAAAATTCACCTCTGTATGTCAATGGCCACAGTTCATATTTGGAAAAAGAATGACATAAGTAAGGTCTCAAAAATAGCTGGCTCATACTTGGGTTTTTAATAAACGCTGATTGATAATAAACGCAGAATCTCTCTGATGCCTGTAATCTTCTATAGGATCTTTACTCAGCTTTCCCTTCCTTCTTTTCCATCTGTCTTTCTTAGCATTGACTGATATCACACTACACAAGATTCTTACCAAAAGTTTTCCGCTTGTGAAGTCTGTTGCCAAGGTCATTCCCAAGTACTTGGAGGTATAGCTGGAACCTGTAGGCAGCGGGAGATGGGTCTGGAGGAGCTTAGGTAATCCAGGTGTGGTGGGATCAGCCTCAACTTCACTGAGACACCATTCCTCCCAGGCCCCTCATCTGTTACTCACCACTCAGGCTTACTGGTAGGCAGTGGCCAGGGTCTGGATGGCACTGATAGAGGTTTCCTGTGCTGTTCCCCTCACCTGGAGCTCCCACGACAACCCTGATGAGAAATCTCACCGGTGAGATGGGAATTGTCCCCGTCTTCACCCACCCACTCCTACCCATTAGGGGTTTCAGATCCACAAATATCTCAGAACATTGTAGCCAGTCCCTTTCCGGGAGGCTCCTCAGCCCCTACCTCTTCCCTATCGAATACATCAAACTTCTAGAAAGTTAAGAATCTTTTTCATTCATAGTCTAGAAAAACTGAGGACCGGAGACTGATGTGCCAGAAGGTCAAATTATGAGTTCATTCAATGAGTCATCAATTCAAAAGTCATTTACGGGGGGCGCCTGGGTGGCTTAGCCCGTTAAGTGGTTAAGCATTTGCCTTCAGCTCATGTCATGGTCCCAGGGTCCTGGGTTAACCCCTGCGTTGGGCTCCCTGCTCACTGGGGAGTCTGCTTCTCCCTCTCCCTCTGCCCCTCCTCTATGCCAGTGATCTCACTATCTCTCTCAAATAAATAAATAAAATCTTTATAAAAAATCATTTATGTCATATCGACTACTTGCTAGGCTGGGGCATGTGCTAGGGATGAGGGAGAAAAAGAAAGACACAAAATCCCTGCCATCAAGGCGCTCTCTGTCTAGTCAGAGCCCCCATGGGGAATCTGGAAGTGTTGCGAAGCCTTTTAGGGGCTGTGATATCTCCCCTTTTATTATGCACTTGTGTGGGGATTTAACGACAGACGGTCCTCATCCTTGCATCTGAGGGCCTCGCTCCTGTTTCTGAGAAATCCCACCGTGACTCTTCCACACAGGAAGACCCCTACCAGTTCCCCGGATCTGGCCCACCCCGGGTGCTGGTGTCCTGGTCCCCTGTCCTGGCTCTGCGGGGCCAGGGAGGGCCTGGGGCCACAGCTCACCCGTCTCCAACCTGCAGGACGCGGTACCCGAAATGCCTCCCGGCGTGTGGGAAGGAGAAGTTTTGCACGTGCCGCACTTCCAGATTGTAGCCCGAGGCCCTGGCTGAGGGAGACCAGGGGGTGCGGTCAGCCACTTCCGGCTGGCCAGTCCCCTGCACGTGCCCCCAGAGCCGCGAGCGCTGATTGGCCGTCGCCCACGTGCCCCCAGGGGGCGGCCGACCGGTGAAGACCCGGCTCCTTCCTCCGGGGTGCTCAAGCCACGAGCTCTGGAGACAGAGCCGGACCTTCCCCCTTGGGCTTCCCCTTTCAGGAACTTGACTCCAGGGGAGAAATCTGGAAGCAGCGACGCCTTTACCACCCAGAGCCCGCTTGACCTCCCAGCAAAGAAGGAAGGATGAGGAGGCGGAGGTCCGTGAGACAGAGGCAGATGGAAGGGGCCCCTCAGGCGATGGGGTTGCCCCCTGGCAGGGTGCATCTCCCTACACACCCACTTCTCCTTTGGGCCTGAGACCCGAGATATTAGCCTCAGGCTTCTGCCACAGACTCATGGTTTCAGGATCCCCTATCTCTGTGGAACTGCTTCTCATCTAATGCTCCCTTACTGCCCACGCCACCATGCACCAGTCTCTTCCTTCCATCAGCTCTCAGATTCCCCCATGTCACCCCCCCACCTGAAGCAGCCCAAGCATCCTCTACAGGTCCCCAACTGTCCCTTTGGGCCTCGCTTTCCTTCCAGGCATCGGGCTTCTTTCCGCAGCATCCTGGGATGGCAGAGAAGCTGCCCCGCCATTTGTTCCATCAAACAGACTGAGGCGCAGAAAGGGGAAAGGGCTGAGATGGTGGTCCACGGTCGTACCTGGAGCAGGACCAGACCCCAGCCACAGCTGCAGGTACCCATTAGCCATCTGCCTCCTTTTAAGACACCACTCCGCTTCTCTGTTGCCACCTGTGTCTCCCTTCTCTGTCTCCCCCCAGAACGTGCCTCAACTTTGGACTCTCGACTTTCTTTCCTTTCCCCGTTCCCTCCAAGATTCCTGAGCCTCTCCGTCACCTATGGCCCATCCCACCCCACGGCAGCTGCTCGTTTACTCCAGTTCCACAAAGCCCTGCTGTTTCTGGCCACATATACATGTCCCTTCCCTTCCCGGCCCCTTTCCCCTTGCCTACCAAAGAGAAAAGGCCCACACAGCAGTAGCCTCATGACGGTGACGCAGGAGTTCATCTTTCCAGCTGCTGGAGGGACCTAATCCAACACTCTGGTTTCAGAGAGTCCTGGGGATTTGCCGGCAACCCAGACAGGGTGAAAGAAGGAAATGATAATGCCCCAGGGCCTCTTACAGTGGGACTTTCTCACACAGGCGACAGGCTGGTGACACTGGGTGTGGGTGAGCCTGCAGGGGTTGTGAAACCACATGGGTTGAGAGGAAGTACAAGCAGGTTAGAGACACTTCCTGTGCCCGCCTGAGTTTTCACAGCATCCAGGAGTAGACAACACAGTAGGTAGATGTCTGCTTGTCCTGCCCAGGAGCTGCCGATCCCTTGTCTTTCACCAACACACAAACCGAAGACTATAAAGCTCAGCAGAAGACTCATCGAAGAAGCTGTGGTACAATCATAAATGAATGCCACCCAAAAAAAAAAATGGGGGCTCCTGGGTGGCTCAATGGGTTAAGTCCTCTGCCTTCGGCTCAGGTCATGATCTCAGGGTCCTGGGATCGAGTCCCACATCAGGCTCTCTGCTCAGCGGGGAGTCTGCTTCCTCCTCTTTCTCTGCCTGCCTCTCTGCCTACTTGTGATCTTTCTCTGTGTGTCAAATAAATAAATAAAATCTTAAAAAAAATGAGAGCGAAAGGAAGAGAAAATATATAAGGTAGGAAAAGGGAAGAATGACATAGTTTTCTCTTGACATTGAAGGATGCCCATAATACACCGACGGAGAAAAAACAGAAAAAGAATATCCACAGAACAGGAGAAAATATTTGCAAATCCTGTATCTGCTATGGGACTTGTATCTAGAATATACAAAGAACTCTCATAACTCAACAGTAAAAAGACAAATGATCCAGTGTTTCAAATGGGCAAAGAATTTAAATACACATTTCCCCGAGGATGATATATAAGATTTTATTTTATTTTATTTAGAGAGAAAGCAAGCCCGCAAGTTGGGGGAGAGGCTGAGGGACAAGCAGACTCTCCACTGAATGCGGGGCCTGACACGGGGCTCAGCACAGGGCTCCTCCATCCCAGGAACACCGAGATCATGACCTGAGCCAAAACCAAGAATCAGATGCTTAGCTGACTGAGCCACCGAGGTGCCCCTGGGTGATGATAGGTAAACAGGATGATAAGGTAAACAGCAACTCACAGAGAAAAGATGTTCAGTATCATCAGTCCTTAGGGAAATGCAAATCAAAACCAAAATAAGATACCACATGTCTAGAATAAGAAAGAAAGAAAAGAACACAGATCGATGAGGGTGTAGAGAAATTGGAGCCCCTGTACGTTGCCAGAGGGATGTAAAATGGTGCTGCTGCTGTGGGAAACAGACTGACAGTTTCTCAAAAAAAGTTAAACATAGAGTTACTACACAACCTAGCAATTCTAAAAGAATGGAAAATGGACGTTCATACAAAAATGTATCCATGAATACTCATAGCAGCCTTATTCCTATTAGCCCCAAACTGGAAACAATGCAAATGTCTATCAACCGATGAACAGATCAAGAAAATAGACTCTATCCACACGATGGAATATTATTCAACCATAAAAAGGAATGAAGCACTGATCCATGCCTCAAAGGGGACAAACCTTAAAGACCTTATACTAAGCACATATTGTGTGATTCCATTTAAGTGAAATGTCCAGAATAGGTAGATCTACAGAGATAAAAAATAGATTAATGGAGGGGCAACTGGGTGGCTCAGTGGGTTAAAGCCTCTGCCTTTGGCTCAGGTCATGATCCCAGGGTCCTGGGATCCAGCCCCGCATCGGGCTCCCTGCTCAGCGAGGAGCCTCCTTCCCCCTCTCTCTCTGCCTACTTGTGATCTCTGTCTGTCAAATAAATAAATAAAATCTTAAAAAAAATAGATTAATGGTTGCCAAGATGGGTGGGGGGAGTGGGGAATGAGGAGTGACTGCTAATAGGTATAAGGTTCCTTTTTGGGGTGGTGAAATGTTCTGTAATTAGTGGTGATGATTGTGCAACTTTATGAATATATTAAAAACCACTGAATGGGGCACCTGGTTGGCTCAGTCGGAAGAGCATTTGACTCTTGATCTTGGGGTTGTGATTTTGAGCTCCATGTGGGGGGTAGAGATTACTTAAAAAAATTTTTTTAAATCTTTAAAAACCACTGACTTGTACACTTATTTTTAAATGGCAAAGTTTGGGGCACCAGGGTGGCTCAGTCAGTTGAGTGGCTGCCTTCAGCTCAGGTCATGATCTCAGGGTTCTGGGATTGAGCCCCGCATTGGGCTCTCCACTCAGTGGTGAGTCCGCTTCTTCCTCTGCCTCTGTGATCTCTCTTGCTTTCGCTCTCTCTAATAAATAAATTTTAAAAATCTTTAAAATGGCAAAGTTTATGGTATGTGAATTCTACCTTAAGGGGCGCCTGGGTGGCTCAGTGGGTTAAGCCTCTGCCTTCGACCCAGGTCATGATCTCAGGGTCCTGGGATCAAGCCCTGCATCAGGCTCTCTGCTCAGTGGGAAGCCTGCTTCTCTGCCTACTTGTGATCTCTGTCTGTCAAATAAACAAATAAAATCTAAAAAAAAAAAAAAAAGAAAGAAAAAGAAAATAAAAAAGGAAGTGGCTCAGTCCTTTAGGCATCCGAAGCTTGGTCTGGGCTCGGGTCTTGATCTCAAGGTTGTGAGTTCAAGCCCCACACTGGCCTCCACACTGGGTGTGGAACCTACTTAAAAAAATGAAAGAAAAAAAAAGAAAAGAAAAATAGGAGTTGAAATTGTGTGTGTGTGTGTGTACTTGTGTGTGTAAAATCTGAAAGGACACACAACCAAACTCCGAACAGTGGTTACTTCTAAAAGAATAAGGTTTTCATGTTTCTGTATTGTCTGAATTTTTTTTTTACAATGAGGATGTAAAACTTACGTAATTTTAGAAAATAAAAATAATTAAAAACACAACAGAATAGAGGAACTTGTATTTGTTTCTGGGAAAGTGGGAAGGCCCTTCAGATTCTCCCCGTGTTGTGAGGAAGTCCTGTTTAGCTTGCAAGGCCCCGTCCAGTGTCATGGCCCGTGGGCTGTTTTTGCAGACACATTATCTCTCATCTGCTGGTAGGCAGCTGCAATGTGAGAAGTTGCCTCCTGATCCTTAGATAATATCAGGTAGTCTTTTTCAAATTCAGCTAAAATCAGATAATTCAGGCTGGCTCCTTTGATCCTCTGTATGACAGTTATGGTTTGTATCTAATCAAATTCTTTTGTGTCCTTCTGAAATTACAAAAAAAGAATACACACTTAAAAATTCAGACACAGGGGTGCCTGCGTGGCTCAGTGGGTTAAAGCCTCTGCCTTCAGCTCAGGTCGTGATCCCAGGGTTTTAAGATTTTTAAAATCTTAAAAAAATAATTCAGACACCACAGGAGTGTGTAAAGTAAAAGGACAAACACTCTCTTTTAATATCTACCCCCCCACACACATACCCCTAAATCCCAAAAATAACCATTGGCAACAATTTGGAGCTGTACCTGCTTCGTGACAGAAAAAAAATTGTTAGTCCTAGTAATCAACCATACAGGTTGGACCTGTTTGGAAAAACTGTTAATTATCTTGCCACAGAACATCTAACTAGAATTAATAATAGTCAAATTGGCCCCTCCTAGAGTGAAGGTTTTCCTTTGGACTGTCTTCAAAATTTAAATTCTTTTTTTAAAAAAGATTTTTATTTATTTATTGGACAGAGAGAGAGATTACAAGTAGGCAGAGAGGCAGGCAGAGAGAGGCGGGGTAGGGGGGAAGCAGGCTCCCCACTGAGCAGAGAGCCGGAAGCAGGACTCGATTCCAGGATCCCGAGATCATGACCTGAGCTAAAGGCAGAGGCTTAACCCGCTGAGCCACCCAGGCGTCCCAAAATTTAAATTCTTAAATTAGGGTGTAAGTATATAGAAACTTCAGATGTATCGGTCATAACACCTGGAATAGAAGGAATTCCGGGGGGGGGGTGCCTGGGTGGCTCAGTGGGTTAAGCCTCTGCCTTTGGTTCAGGTCATGATCTCAGGGTCCTGGTGTCGAGCCCCGCATCAGGCTCTCTGGGAACCTGTTTCCCCCTCTCTCTCTGCCTGCCTCTCTGCCAACTTGTGATCTCTGTCAAATAAATAAAAAGAAACCTTTTAAAAATATAAAAAATATTTTTAAAAAAGAAGGAATTCAGGAAATGATCTCAAGGTCACCACTGCTTGGGTTGTAGCTTAGCTTATGCTTCAGTAGGCAAACGTACTCATTTATATATTTATCAGATTCTGGTTTTCAGTTTAAAAGGACAGAAGAATGGTTTTTTTCCCCCTTCTGCTTGAGGACTGTAAGGTTGAGGAAGCTATAAAAGCATAAGGAGGCCCCCAAGGATTCTAGGGTGTCATGGCTCCATAATGGAGAGAAAAGGTGACTTCCCTGAAGAGCTGGGGTGCAGAGATCTCAGGCTGGGACCAGGTGGGGAAGTGCTGAGGCACGATTTTCCTTACACAAACACACACACACACACACACACACACACACACACACTTACACACTTCATTAATCCTGGGCCTTCATCATCTCTCATTTCTCTGAGGAGCCACTCGGGTCTCTCTATTCCATTCCATTTGTTCAAATCCCCACCAGTTCCCATGGGAACAATTTACAACCACTACAGCTCTTTCTTCCTTCACTCTCCTGCCTCTAGAGAAGGTTCTACCTCCTGGGGAATTCCAAATTAACCTCAAGAAACCTGAGCATGTCTCTCTTAGGCTTTCAAAACTCGGAGGAGTCCCCCTTTTGCATACACAAGATGACGTCCAAGTTTATCAGCATGGCTTTCAAGGGCCTCGTTGTCTCTCCATACTCTGCTCTAACTTAGCTAGCCAATGACTCACCAGGGTTTAAACAGACCAAGTATCTAGAGATGAGTCTATGAAACTCAGAGCATCGGCCATATTGCCACCCCATCTTGAGGAAATGGGCTTCAGTAGGTGCTTTCTGCTTGATGTTATCTCGCCTGCATCAAATGAACAGTATGAAACCGATTGTGCTGGGGCGCCTGGCTGGCTCAGTTAGTGGAGTGTGTGCGACTTTTGACCTCAGGGTTGTGAGTTTGAGACCCACGTTGGGTGTAGAGATTACTTAAAAATAAAATTACTTAAAAATAAAAATAAATAAAAATAAATA